CTCGCGGATCGTACAACAATGCGGCCATAATTTCTATATTTTCGTTTTCTCGCTAAAATGATTTCATTTTCTTTGAGACATCTTGGATAACTTCACGTTTCCGGCTTCAAGCCCGAAAGAGACAAGAGAAAAGCTTGGGACCATCGCGAAGACTCCCGTAAAACTTAGTCGTTTGCTCAACATGGCACTGACGCTATCTGGCGGAATACTATCTCGGTCGTCGTCCCGGTGATTAAGGGCCGCGCATGCTGCTGGAGAAATGAAACATACTGCGAAATTTCAGAGGTCACAACCTGATCCACGTCTTCTGGCAGCTGCGGGAGGGGAGGAGCGTAACAACACTGTGACGGCTGCCGAAAACTGACAAGAAGACGACGAAGATACCAGTCAACATGGAGAGTTGTTACCCATTTTGAACGGAGGGGGCAGATACAGTGATGACAGGTCAGATAAGGTCCTACAGGAACGACAGTGGGAGCTCAGAGTTGGAACGTGGAACATCTCTTCAGCGAAAGGGAAAGAGCAGGAGCTAATTGGTGAGGCGTCATGGTCGTGAACGGATACAGTAAAATTTTCGTCAACGAAATGCATCTTAACCCTGAACCCTCATCCCATTTCTTAGCATTCGTTTGCACATACCATTACCTCCTATCGAAAAAGTCTCGTTATTCAATCATTTTATATTTATCTAGAATTGCCAGAGCGTAACGTTTTGCTTTTATTTCTGAACTGGTCTGTTAGTGTCCTTCTGTTGATCCATTGTGCATAAACGACGGCGGTTTCATATTTTCTTCCGTGATTGTATACTGGTATTTTGTTCCATGCTAACATCGAACTGTTGAGTATTTTACGTGCTCATCATCGAACGAGTTAGAAAGTAGCACATCAAACATTTTTCAATGTCTCCTGTCGATGCTCAAGTAACGGCGTAAGAACGTAAACTAAACCTAATCATGACTGACTCACCCAATCTGACAATGCCAATCAAATTACGCGAAACAACAATGGTCATCCCAAACTGAATGGCTTTCTATAAAAGGTTAAACTGCATAAAATTTGTTACAGAACACTGGACAACCTCTTTAATTCCACCACCCTGTCCATCATGTTGTATAGCTGTGAGGCATGCTAACTCAATAAAGCCGAAGAGCGCGTTATCCGCCACCGAAAGAGCCACAGATAGATGAATGTTGGGAATTTCATGTCGCGACCACATTCCGAACACGATTACCAGACAGCTGACGCGAGTAAAGGACGTTGCTGCCGAAATCAGAATGGAGAAGTTATGGTGAGCCGGTCATGGAGCTCAGCAGACCGACGGGAGGTGATCGTCGACCAATACCCTCACTGACGGTCTAGACCGCTTGGTCGCCCATCATCACGGAGGGAGAATTGTATCAGGAGCCAAAAAGGTTGTGCTTGGAAAAAAAATGCTCTAAACCGCGAGGAATGTAGGGTTTTGCGGACAGCCGAATTCGTTGCAGATCACCGGCCGGTCTATGTGATTATTAAATGTGACGGACGAAGTAAATAGTGCGATACCATTATGGCAAACAGATAAGTTTCCACGGGGATAACAACAGTGGGAGCTCACATTCGGCAATTTGAGCATCTCATCGCATAAAGAGAAATAGTAAGAGCTGACAAGGCTGCAATGTACAGACTGAACATAGATGCACTCTAGTCAACGAAGCACCATGATTTTGGAATTCTGAATCACTGCGAGTGGAAGCTATT